AGCAATGGCCGCGCCAGGCCCTAAACGCTAAACTCCAAAGACTACACCCTGACTCCCTTTAGCCCTACATCCAAAAACCCTAAGCTGGTACTTCCATGAAGCCTTAACTCCTACACTCTGAATTCCTGAAGCCAGATGCAGACTAAGTAACTCCCCAAACAGCTCCCCACACAAATTCCTAGCCTGCCGTAATGTAGACCCCTGATTAGCAGACCCCATCACCAAAACTGCTCGTAAAACTACAGGTGCTTGTAATCCTTTTGCGATTTGTCTGCCTGAGGCTGCTCTTACCAACGTGCTTGATGTTTATATTATATATGCGTGGGAAATGTCCTGCAAGGACTTGCTGGCAATTCGTGCACACAGAACCTGCATTTGGGCATATATGATATGGATAGTTCTCTAAATTAGGGTCCGTTTTGGGGTCCTTTTTATAGGGGTGCCGTAATATTAATATATTTGGGACCCAAAGAGGGACCCTCCCATATCGCACTTGCTAGATGTGCTAGCTAACCCTAGGCCCTAAACCTTCCCACTCGCGCGGGGACTTAATGCTGCCTGACCTCAAGATGGGTGTTGCAAGATATCGTAATACAAATAAATGTAATATAGTATAGTATAGTATAGTATAGTATAGTATAGTATAGTATGATATGATATACTCTCATTTAATCCCTGGTTCAAGTCATAACTCTAAGCGATGCAGGGAAAAATATCATATGAAACACTGGTTTAGTAAAGTATGACATAATCGAATCTCAACCTTATTTCGCAATAGGTTGCAATCTGGTAAAATGTAATGAAAACACAGTACGCCATGAACGCTAAACTTGAAACCCGGTCATGTGGAAGATGTTTCCAGATACGGGCTTCTGATCAGGATCTCCAGACTATCGGTGCCTACGGGACGAAGCGCACTTCGATTGGACCCCGCTCTAAGTTCAAAGCTTAGGATTTCAGAGCTGGGGGGAACCTGCCATGTCAGAGTGGGTGCAGGAAACAGGCTCTTGCTGGACGAAGGCTGCCTTACTTGAGCATGTTCACCACATCCCTCAGATGTTGGACATCATTCCGCAAACTCCATATGGTTGAGATGTCCGCCTGGTAGATCGTCAGCCCCCGGCCAGTTCCAGTTCCGGTAGGAAGCTTCTCTGCCAGCTTGACGACGTGAGACAGGTTTTGAGCCTTGCCTCGCAGCTTCTTGAGTCGCTCCTGCATCTCCTTCGTCAGCTCGAGGAGGACATCTGGCGGCAAAGCATTCAAGTCCTCCGGGACCCGACAAGGTTTCATGCTACATCCTACAGTCACGATGACCCCAACCCTATAATCGTCAAGAAATGTCATTGCTAGTGCGGCTGGTTTTGTCCTGAGGTTGGCTGATGAGGGACAATGATGCGATGCAGCGCCTATACTGCTTGGGAAGGTCATGCTTGTGAGCCTGCAGAAGTCGCTCCACCGTTACCGGCATGCGCAACAGCTGCTCCTCACAGGCATCTTTGACAAAGTCTACCTGGTAGTAGTCACTGATACAGAGCAGGGCATGGACGTTATCGGGTGTCACCTGCGTGAAGCAGCGGGCACCAGGCATTATCAAGCCGTAAAAGATCTCGAATTCCTCTTTAGTGGCTACTTTCACTTCAATGACCTGCTCAGTTGCCTCTTTCATGCCAGAGCTGAACATACCATCGAAGACCGGGGAAGCCCAGCGCAGCAACGCGGAGCATGCTGGCTTGGTGCCTTCGCGGAATTTCAAGACGATGTCGTTCATGTGTTCCATTTTCCGCTGCTTCTTGGGCTCAGGCTCCTCACCAGCTTCTTCAGTCTTCCTTTCAGGCTCCTCCTTCTTCTTCTTGCGTACAGGCTCGTCATCACTGCCACTGTCACTTCCCAAAAGGTCTGCTAGTTCCTCATCGGTTAGCCCGGTTTCCATTGTCGAAGCAGGTGGATGCCGCTCTTTTCAGAGAAACCCTTCACGGACAGTTCTGCAAAACAGCATTACGCCTAGCTTTGCTTGCAAAACAGATGCATAGACTGTGACGGCCCATGAATCCTCGACACCTGCATTCAATGTAACACCCTAACCTTGAGAGGAGCTGTCGGTGAGCCGAGACAAGGTTGCAGCAACAAACACCTGCGGCTACATCAAGCTAAACCCTGAACCCCTAAACCCCAAAACCCGCAAAACCTGGCGACGACATGATTATGCCGGGATGTCAGAGCCGGCGAACCCGTTGCGTTCATAGATCTTCGGCGCTTCTGACTCATGTCACTGTGGTGACTTCGGTTCGGGTTTAGGGTGTCGGACTGTGCAAAGGGCCAAAGATCCAGAGCCCTGAGCCCAAGAGCTCTTAAACTGTGACGATTGAGCCGTGTTGTTGAACCCCATACCTCTACAAAGCCGTACTAAGCCGTAGTAGTAGTAGTAGTAGTAGTAGTAGTAGTAGTAGTAGTAGTAGTATGCCTGCAAAAACTGGGTTGGCCCTTTGAAAGCCTCTGAGAAATATGCATAATTAAGATCCTCCAGAGTAGCAGAACCATGTAGGCACCAGGAGGGGATGCTTCGGCTGGACTTGAGAGGTATTCAAGCTTTCTGCAAGCTGAGGCTGACATCGTTTGTTGCCTGATTCCCTGCACGGGCTCGACGGGCGCCTAAAACCAAAAACTCCCAAACTAGAAGCTTATGCTGCTGCGGAGCCCATAATCCTAAAGCCTAAACCCCCACACCCCCCTAACCCCAAACTGAAAAAGCACAACGCCCTAAACTCCGAACTGAAACCCTAAACCCTAAAACGTAAACCCCCTAAACCCTAAACTCCTAAACCCGGAACCCTAACCCAGCACTTAAGCATCCGACAGCTCCCGGGGATGACAAAAGACCTTCCACAGCCTTCCGCGGCAGACTTTGGAGCGACGCTAACAAAGAACCCTAAACCCCAAACCCCCGAAAGGATCCCATAAAACCCTACACCCTAAACCCTAACCCCAAAGGGGTTTAGGGTTTGAGGCTTTATGAAATCCTTCTCGGTTTGGGGTTTAGGGGCGAAGCATTCGGGAGATGCAGTTTGTGGATTTCTGAGTCGATCCAGCAAGTATGTAGGGTTTAGCAGGACTACTCAGATTGGGATAAAAGGGATAGTAAGCAGACCTGCTAAGTTCGAAAAGACTCCTTCTATACTATTGTATCCTTTTAGGATCGGTGTTGCAATGGGGCTCAGGCTATTGAGATGCTCCTGGGCAAGACCACTGCAGGCTACTTGTGAAGATCACGTGTAGGGTTTAGGGTTCAGGATTTCGGGTTTCCCCGAAAAGCGTAGCTTTGTATAGCTTCCGTTTACCCGGTTCATCCGGCCGTGGGTTTTCAGTATGCAGATAGGCCTCTTGACCGTCTTCTGGCATGTCTAATGTGGGGGCCTTAATGATTTGAATAGGGGTTTCGGGGCCCATAATTTTATACTATAAATAGTATAGGTAACCACGTAGGCCCCTATATTACTAATTTGGGCACTATGTCAAACACGTCGGCTTCTGAGCCTCTGTCTCTGAACCTTGACCCCTACACAACCTGAAGCAGAAAGCCGTCCTTTTCTCGAGCAGCCTCTTTTAATCCCTAAACCCATGCCCCTCGACCCAAGACGACAAACTACTGTTCTGCCCACCTCTCCGGCCGACCCAGCCAACCTTCGGGCGTCGGAATAGTAAGGAGTTTAGGGTTGTGGGTTTAGGGTTGGGGCGTGGGAATAATACAGAGTTGAAGTTTAAGCTTACCTTTTCCTGGCTTAATGCCTCTTCGGCTCATGCGGGTGAGCCTTCTCCACGCACAGGCCTGGACACTGTCCTTTTCTGTTGCACAACTCGCAATTGGGGCTTGCCCCAGCGGTTTAGGCTTTGGCTTTGGGGTGTAAAGTTGTAATTGATTCATGTTCTAACGGTTCCTTTAAGGAACTGAACAAGTCGAACAGCAAGTGTTCAAGTATGGTTTCGGGTTTAGGAGCACTTTGATCTCGAATCACATGGCCGCCTGCTTCAGTTCATCAGACAACATCTCCTCACTCTCCGAATCCCACCCGAGGTGCCAGGTAGCACTTAGGCGGTTTCGGCTTGTTTTGTGCTCGCAAGAATAACGCATAGGGTTTAGGGTTTAGGGTTTAGGGTTTAGGGTTTAGGGATGTTTGGGGTATAGGGTTGAGGTTTTGCCTTCCGGGATTAGATCATAAGATTTAGCTGCTTCTGTCACAGAGCCTGGCCTGGGTCGGAAAACAAGGTCAAGACCCTAAACCCCAAATCCATAAAAACACCTTACAAACCCTAAACCCTAAACCCCAAATCCAGAAAACACCTTACAAAAACCCTAAACCCTAAACCCTAAATCCGTAAAGCACCTTACAAACCCTAAACCCTAAATCCGCAAAGCACCTTACAAACCCTAAACCCTAAACCCTAAATCCGTAGAACACCTTGCAAACCCTAAACCCTAAACCCTCAACCCTAAACCCCAAAGCCCTAAACCCTAAACCCCAAAGCCCTAAGCCCAAGGCTCGGACCCTCCCAGCTCATTCATCTCGTGCACGTGCACTCGCTGCTTTTCTCCGCGCAAGGCCACAGCCTCATCCGTCTGAAAACCCTTGGGTTTAGGGTTTCGGGTTTAGGGTTTAGGGTTTCGGGTTTAGGGTTTAGACGCCACAAAACCGAGAATAGAGGTCTTGAGGCAAATTATACTACAGTCATACTCAGGAACCCTACTAGGAAAAGGACCACATACTTATTTTCATAGCTAGTATCACTGTTGTCATTGTTAATAATGAAATTACTCTTACTATTATCATCATTCCTACTATTATCATTTTTGTTATCACTGATTACTTGATCTTCTGCATTGAACTCTGAGCCCAGGAATCTACCGGGAAGTCACTTCTTCTTGGGCTTAGGGGGTAGACTTCTGTGGGGACGGTAACATAGAGGCTTTCATAAGCAGAGTAGTATACTTATCTGGTGACGAAACGGTGGATACTACCACTAACAATTCCGAGCCCTATTTTCGAGGAGAAGCGTTTTAGCTTTAATATCTTCGGAATCTACGGTGGGGCATCTTTGCCGCCCATGGTTTAGGGTTAAGGGTTCAGGAGAACCAGAGCACCTGAATTCCAGACCCTTTAACCCCAAACCCCAAAGCCTCACCAACACAATCCTACACCCTAAACCCTAAACCCTCAACGTTAAACGCCGAACCCTAACCTCCTTAACCTTAACTCATACTCCGGCCCAGGCACCATGATACTCAGGCCGATGGTGAGCAAAAGAGAACCCAGCCAAAGGTCGAACAAGGACCTGGCATCAGTCAAATTGTACAAAGCGGCCAGGGTTTAGGGTTTCTCATGAACCGAGCATGGGTTCGGGGGTATACTAAGGAATCTATTGCTCTGCGGGTTTAGGGACGATAGCTTGGATCCCCATACGGGGCTCACTAAGAGTTTGTCGCTCTTGTATGATAAGGGCCTTGACAGGGACCTTTTCAAAAAGGCTTGCAACACCCAAAATCACATCCCACCCCAACATCCGATCTCTCAAACCCAAGCCCTGAAAGCAATTCTCAACCTACTTCCCCCCTTTCAAACTTTCGCCCCCCCCCATATAGAATCCTAAACGCTGCGATCCTTAACAAAAGAAGCCCGCACATACGAGTCGGGTGACTGATCTGAGTTGGCCATCTTCTCGCAGTAGCTGCTCACGCTGAAGCCCTGCAGTGCTTCCCTGCACACGGAGTCTTGTGCTCCCTAAACCATAAAGACCCTAAGCCCTTTTCTTGAAAAGGGTGTAACTGGTTCAGAGCTTAGGCTTTCAGGTAAGCTTCAAAGTTGTAAGGTTTAGGGCGGAAGGATCTAGGGTGTGGGGCTTTAGGGTTTCGGGTGGTGTAGGGTAGGGCTGCGTAAGGGTTGCATGGGTCTTATAGGGTTGTGATATCGGATTATGGAAGGTTTTAGGGTTTAGGGTTCATAGGAGGCTCAAGATTCGGGGTTCCCTATGAGACTTCGTGGTGCTCAGGATCCAAAACAAACTTCCAAACTAACGATCTTACAGCGTCAGTAAGCACTGAATCCGAGGCCTTAAGCCACCAAAACCCTAGACGTATACAACGCAAGACATCACCAAGCCAGAAGAGCCTAAAAATGGAGCCGAAACCCCAATGCCGTCGACCACTACCGGCCTGACGTTCAGCAACAGAAAGGGCATCTCTTTGGCACCACCGCTGAAGAAGGCCTGACGTCTTTTTTTGGTTTCGGGGTCTAGAGCTCGAGGGTTTCGAATGGAAGGCTCAAGTCCCAAACTCGAAACTCCCAGCCCAAAGCCCTAAACTGCAAACCCAGAACCCTCAGTCTAAACCTTAATGGGTTGCTCCGGCTTGAAGATGTGGCGTAGGGATCCGCTTGGAACTGATTTCTCTGGAGGCCTGTCGGGGTAGGACTCTGGGGCTTTTGTAGGAGTTTAGGGCTTTTGTGGGAATTTCCCGTTTAGAGGCCAGGATTTAGGAACCCAGGGTTCAGCGCTTGACGGCGTAGGGCCAAGGACCGCAGTCGGACCTGCCGGCTTGATGCACAGCTTCGCTGGAACTGCCCAACCCCGTAAATGAAGGCAGAAAGCCGTTATAGTATAGAGCCTAGATACAACGAACTCACAGCAATGACCCTCGAAGTCCAGTCCGATCCAACAGCCTAAACATGCCTAAACCTAGGGTTTAGTGGGGTTTAGGGTTCAGGGTTTGGGGGTTTAGGGTGTTAAGCGCCTCATCTCAAACCCAAGGCACGTCCTCGAAACCCTACGGCAGCACGGCGGTGCTATACTTGCTAAGTGCTCCACCCATGAAGCCCTAAACCCGTAAACCCCATAAGCCCTGTAATCGTCCGAAACTTCTGCCAAAACCCTTCTAATTCCTCT